TAGTTACGTATTGCTTGATGTACCGTACCTATAGTGACCTGGTGTACCGTACTATAGCGACCTGGTGTACCGTACCTAGAGTAACCTGGTGTACCGTACCTATAGTGACCTGGTGTACCGTACCTATAGTAATCCTGGTACCGTACCCATAGTGACCTGCGTACCGTACCTAGTGACCTGGGTACCGTGCCTATAGTGACCTGGTACCGTACCATAGTGACCTGGTGTACCGTACCTATAGTGACCTGGTGTACCGTACCTATAGTGACCTGGTGTACCGTACCTATAGTGACCTGGTACCGTACCTATAGTGACCTGCACCGTACCCATAGTGACCTGGTGTACCGTACCTATAGTGACCTGGGTGTACCGTACCTAGTGACCTGGTGTACCGTACCTATAGTGACCTGGTGTACCGTACCTATATGTGAGCTGATGTACCGGTACCTATAGTGACCGGTGTACCAAAATTTATAGTGAACCGATGTACCGTACCCATAGTGACCTCGGGTACTGTACCTATAGTGAACTGATGTACCGTACCTATAGTGACCTGGGTGTACTGTACCATAGTGACCTGGTGTGCCCGTACCTATAGTGACCTGGGTACCGTACCTATAGTGACCTGGTGAATGTACCCATAGTAACCTGGTGTACCGTACCATAGTGAGCTGATGTACCGTACCTATAGTGACCTGGTGTACCGTACCCATAGTGAACGGATGTACCGTACCTATAGTAACCTGGTGTACCGTACCTATAGTGAACTGATGTACCGTACCATAGTGACCTGGTGTACTGTACCTATAGTGACCTGGTGTACCGTACCTTATAGTGAACTGATGTACCGTACCTATAGTGACCTGTACCGTACCTATATGGCGACCTGGTGTACCGTACCAAGAGTAACCTGGTGTACCGTACCTATAGTGACCTGGTGTACCGTACCAAGAGTAACCTGTGTACCGTACCTATAGTGACCTGGTGTACCGTACCTATAGTAACCTGCGTACCGTACCTATAGTAACCTGGTGTACCGTACCTATAGTAACCTGCGTACCGTACCTATAGTAACCTGGTGTACCGTACCTATAGTGAACTGATGTACCGTACCTATAGTAACCTGGTGTACCATACCTATAGTGAACTGATGTACCGTACCTATAGTGACCTGGTGTACCGTACCTATAGTGACCTGGTGTACCGTACCTATAGTGAACTGATGTACTGCACCTATAGTGACCTGGTACCGTACCTATAGCGACCTGCGTGCCGTACCTATAGTGACCTGGTGTACCGTACCTATAGCGACCTGGGTACCGTACCAAGAGTAACCTGGTGTACCGTGCCAAGAGTAACCTGGTGTACCATATTCATAGTGACCTGGTGTACCGTACCTATAGCGACCTGGTGTACCGTACCTATAGTGACCTGGTACCGTACCTAGTGACCTGGGTACCGTACCTATAGCGACCTGGTGTACCGTACCAAGAGTAACCTGGTGTACCGTACCAAGAGTAACCTGGTGTACTGTACCTATAGTAACCTGCGTACCGTACCTATAGTAACCTGCGTACCATACCTATAGTAACCTGGTGTACCGTACCTATAGTGAACTGATGTACCGTACCTATAGTAACCTGGTGTACCATACCTATAGTGAACTGATGTACCGTACCTATAGTGACCTGGTGTACCGTACCTATAGTGACCTGGGTACTGCACCATAGTGACCTGGTGTACCGTGCCTATAGTGACCTGGTGTACCGTGCCTATAGTGACCTGGTGTACCGTACCCAAAGCGACCTGGTGTACCATACCAATAGCGACCTGGTGTACCGTACCAAGAGTGACCTGGTGTACCATACCTATAGTAACCTGGTGTACCGTACCTATAGTGAACTGATGTACCGTACCTATAGTGACCTGGTGTACCGTACCTATAGTGAACTGATGTACCATACCTATAGTGACCTGGTGTACCATACCTGTAGTGATCATGGTGTACCGTACCTATAGTGACCTGGTGTACCGTACCTATAGTGACCTGGTGTACCGTACCTATAGTGACCTGGTGTACCGTACCTACAGTGACCTGGTGTACCGTACCTATAGTGACCTGGTGTACCATACCTGTAGTGATCCTGGTGTACCGTACCTATAGTGACCTGGTGTACCGTACCTATAGTGACCTGGTGTACCATACCTGTAGTGATCCTGGTGTACCATACCTGTAGTGATCCTGGTGTACCGGACGTCGTAATCAGAGAGAGGAGAAGAGATCCAGGAACACCTCGTGATAGTTGTTGAATTAAAGGGAATTAGAACCGTGTTATAACTGTTATTAGAGTACACAGGTGTGTTAATAAATGGCTTGGATACACCTGTGGCATTCTCGTTAAAGTTTATACCTGTGGATATCAGTGTGTGTGTGTGTGTGTGTGTGTGTGTGTGTGTGTGTGTGTGCGAATTCATTTATGTACGGGAGTGTCTGCACATACGTAAGTTGTACATAAGGTATAAATGGTGTCTATATTCCCTGACTATATTATTAAGTATAAAAACCATATGTAAATAATTCCACTTTCGCTATATTAAGCAGACAATTGTTAGTTAAGCATCAGTGAGCCTTGTAACTTTTCTTAAGCAAAACTCGTCAAGAAAACGACGTCATAGCCTCATCACGTCAAGACACCACTTATTTTTTCCCTCGTCAATGCCTTCCTCCTCAACTAACGTAACATAATTGCTAACTCAACTTAAATGTATTAAACTGAATAAAATCGAACTTATCTCTTAATAATCTGAATCCACTGGGACTAAGTTTAAGTTGAACCTACAGTAATTGAACGCATTTAAACCTGACTCGACCTAACCTGACCTAACCTAACCTAACCTAACCTACAGTAATTGAACGCATTTAAACCTGACCTAACCTAGTCTAACCTAACCAACTTGACCTGACCTGACCTAAACTAAACTCAGTCGGCCCATTTAAACCCAATGAACTGAGTAACTGTAGGGATAGGAAGGAGTGGATGGACGATTTTACTTTTGTTTGTTCTATATCGCTAGAAGTGGTTAATTTTGCGATATATTTCACTAAAACCTTGAAATTATCCATAGGTGACTCAAGAATATTGTACACTATCACAACAACCATAACTGCTAATACTTACCCTCCCATTATCATCACCACCACCACCATCACCACCACTACCACCACCACCACCACTACCACCATCGCGTGACCTTGACCATGAGGCGGACACAATTTATCACTTAAGTGGTAGTTATCTTAGCACTTCTTGACCTTTGGATAACGCAATATCTTACCTACCAATCAGAGGTGGCCAAGTGCAAGGGCAGTCAGGGCGGATTAGGGAGATTAGGACGCCTGACGAATGGGGGTAAGTGGGTGCTAGTAAGGGGTAAATCAGGGGGTAAGTGGGTGCTAGTAAGGGGTAAATCAGGGGGTTAAGGTGGATTCTACTCAAGGGGTACATCGGGAGAGGGGGGGGGGGGTTAAGGGGGCGGATGTTATGACTGTAAATAAACATTGAACACAGCAGATCAGAGTCTTCTTTGATGTTGGTATGTACGTCCGGGTCTTGTGTGTGTGTGTGTATATAAAACATGAGATACGTGTACATGCATTATTCACAAACACACAGATACGCATGAAACGTTTACACACACACATACACTTACAAGAGAGCATCAGGAAAGCACACACAGAGAAGACTAAACAAACAATATTTCTCTGTATCTATGACTTAAAAACTAAAACAAATTGAGAGGTTACGCCTAGCACGACTTAGGGGTGGCGGTGTGAGGTAGTAACAGCAACACCTGAAGTTCCTACGGTCCCTGTGGTAACCTGTGTCTCCAAACAGCACCGTCGCAGTAGTAGTAACATTGTTTATGAATGAATGGGTATTGGTCGTGTAATGACGGACGTGATTGGTGGATAGGTTTGCTATAGGTCATATAAGTTGGTCGTTTTGGAGACACGGGTTACCACAGGCGGATAGGAACACATTTTCGCAACTACCAGCTTATTTTATTTGAAGATTAGCCCCATGTCAGCTTATTTTATCTAAAGTTTAGCCCTGCCAACTTATTTTACCTAAAGATTAACCCTCCTCCCAGCTTATTTACCTGAATCTAATCACCTTGACGCTAATCTAAACTATCTTTACTTCAACAGGTACTGTTAGGGTGGTTAATCTTCAGGTGAAATAAGCTGGGGGGAGGGATAATTTTCAGGTGATCCACATATATAGAACAGGCAGAACTGTGGATAAATGGTTAATAAAAAAAATCTTAATAATAATAATAATAATAATAATAATAATAAAAAGAACACAGACAACCATAAAATAATCTTCGGGTGTAAAGGAACATCTACACAAACAAAACAATATTCCCTCCCCAAACAGGGTTTCGAACCAACACATAACTCGGATAGCCACCGAGAGCGCTACAATCTGTCCCACAATTTACTAAAATATATTCATAGTAAAGATGCTTTCATCCTTGCTTGCCATCTCAGCTGTCGTTTGTGCAGGTCACTCACGCTATTGTGTGCGTGTCGTCATCACCAGTCATGTCTGGCTCACACCACTGTGAGACAGATCATCGGCTCGTCAGGCCAAAGCTCCCTCCACGTTGTCCCAAAACGTCGAAGGCAACAAGCCTCCAGGAGAGGTTTCATCACTAAAGCGACTGGAGGATCTTGGGGTAAAACAGCCTTTAGAGAACAGCTTGATGATGGACCGATAAACAACCCAACAACAAACAACCTGAATCCAAGTGCTGAATGGGGTATCCTCAAGGCTCTAGTCTCAAAAACCTGCAGCGAGATTCTTTGATATTGATATTGATACTGCTCGGCCAGATCAAAGAAAACACCACGATTGGTTTGATCAAAATATTCAGAAAATCTACGTACTCCTCTCTGGGAAACGTGCAAATTCAAAAGTGTCACAAGTCACTGGTAAAAGGAATTAAAAAATGCCACAAGTGTCATAAGGCATTGGTAAAAGGAATTTAAAAATGCCACAAGTGTCATAAGTCATTGGTAAAAGGAATTAAAAAATGCCACAAGTGTCACAAGTCATTGGTAAAAGGAATTAAAAAATGCCACAAGTGTCATAAGTCATTGGTAAAAGGAATTCAAGAGTGCCGCCTGTCATTCAAGTGTGTCATATGCTAAAAAAAAAAGATTAAGAGAGAAAATTCCAAAGCGCCGCCCGTGTTTACTGTTGACGTCAAGAGCCACAAGATTATGAGGCTGAAGGAGTTGAGTGGTGACGTAGGCTGGGTTAAGTTTAGTAGTGTCAACATCATTTACTCTCGTTTTGTGGCCATGGGCGTGCTTGATGATGATGGGCGTGGATACAGGCTACTGGGCGTGTATAATGATAAGAAGTCAAAATCTATCACATGATCTTCAACCCAGCCCATGACCAACATCCACACAGGTCGTCATCTAGGACACCCATGATCTACTTTGACATCCATACTACACCCACACGAGCAGATTTTCATCCAGGCTACCCACGATCTACATTCACGCCCATACTATAACTACCCGCGGAGATGACGTAGTATAAACATTTAGGAATTCGGGGGAGGTGTGACGGAGCTCTCCCAGCTGGCTCACCAAGGCCAGTTGAATCAGGCGAATGTGACACAACTAGTAATATTGTTATCACCAGTTGTCAAGCGAAGTCCTCCTACACCCGCTGTTGTGTAGTGCCCGTGTGTGTGTGTGTGTGTGTGTTTCTCCATCCCTGCAGTAAGGTAACAAGGTCGGGTCAGTGTATATGGTCGTGTTATAACAACTAAACTAAACCGTGATTGGAGGAAAGCCAACACGTTTAACTGGATCTGGTGTTATTATTTACTCAGAGAAGTAATTCATAAACCTTTTGAGGGCCGAGGATTTAAGTCATAACCCTTTGAGAACGATGGTTTAAGTTACAGCTATTAAAACCCAACACTGACTGGGCTTAAGGCTGACTGGTCAAACAGGTCCCATTCTAACCAAACCGAATTTTAGCATTAGTAATTGGGGCTCACGTTCCAATGGGTCCCAGTCTTAATGGTTAGGTTAGGTTGAAGCTTAATAGTTTCAGCCTCTTGAGCCACCTCAGAGTTCACTAACGAAAGTGACGTCATTAAAAAACTTATAATATTCTGTCATCGCTGGATAATCATCACTTGCAATTCCGAGTGACAGCAAAATAGTACTACGCATAAAAGAGCTGCATGGCATGTCAGGACCCTTCTGGATATTGGCACAAGTGAGCGTCCTGAAAGAAGAACTGCCCTTGTTTCAAAAGAGCTGGCTAGGTATAACATTGATAGCTCAGGATCGACTCACAGAACATGGGTACGGCGATACCTTCTTCTGGAAGAGTAAGGCTGGTGCTTAGAGAAATTTATGGAGTTGACTTGGCCATTCGTGAAACCATCCTGCATAGGCTAACTGAAATACCTGTTGGGGTCAACTAACGTCTCATGATGCTCAGAGTCCCACTGAATTACTCACGTCATGCCTCTTTCTTCAGTGTTTACGCCCCAACATTGGATGCAGAGAATGGCATCAAGGAAGCCTTTTACGTTGACCTTGACAGAATGCTAACCAGAGTTGCAGAGATGCTGACATATGGCAGGGAACCATAGGGAGAAATGGAGTAGGCAAGTGTAATCCCAACGGCATACTCGTCCTCAGCAAGTGTGCTGAACATCCAGTACCGGATGAAAGGACTTTTCAACATATAACGACTCCAGGCAGGAACAAAGCTGTCGGCCGCTTCCATCACTGAACTTCATTATGTTGACGACCTCACCCTATAGTCGCTCACATTGAACGCGACCTACAGGAGATCCTGAACACCTTCGCAGATGCAGATGCACACTTCGGTCTTGAGGTAAATGTACGTAATACTCAGATTTATTCAGCCTGCCCCTGGTTCAGCCACACCTCCACCATCCATCCATCTTAACAGTACTACCCTCTCTAATGTTACCCACTTTCAGTACCTTGGTTCCCACCTGTTCACCACCGCAGACATCGATGAAGAGATTCAACATCGGATCAGATGTGCATCTCAAGCCTTTGGCAGACTCCGTACCCGTGTCTTCAGCTGTAAGGATCTGAAATTATTATCTACAAAGCTGCACGTATATCGAGCAGTGGTCCTCCCCACCCTGCTATATGGCAGCGAGACATGGGTCACATACAGGAGGCACCTCAAGGCACTTGAAAACTTTCACCAACGTAGTCTACGTTCCATCCTCCGAGTTCGCTGGGAAGACAAGAGAACAAATGCCAGTATTCTTGCTGACACCAACTGTAGGAGCATCGAGGCTACCATTATACATGAACAACTATACGTTGGACTGGCCATGTTACCTGCATGGGCGACAGTAGACTGCCAAAACAGCAACTTTACAGTCACCTAACGAATAGTAAACGTAACGCTGGCGGGCAACTGAAAAGGTATAAGGATAGTCTTAAAACAAACCTGAAAAAGTGTCAAATCGACACCCTCACCTGGGAGACGATTACTCCACACCGTAACGCTTGGAGGAGCACCACAAAAGAAAGTGTCAATACTTTCGAGTTAGCCCGACTGCATACCGAGTCAGACAAGCGACAGCGCCGGAAAGACGCTGTCGCCTCCCCTCCCGCACTAGATGTAGCCCTCTACACATGCAACATTTGAGGATGACCCTGCCGGTCCCGTATCGACCTCCCAAGTCAACTCAGAGCTCACCAACGAAGGTGACATTTTTAATAACTCATATCACTGTATCATAGCTGGATGGTCGCCATACTCGATTCCGAGTGACAACAAAGTAATAGTAGTAATAATGTATGTGTGTGTGTGTGTGTGTGTGTGAGCATTGCCCATTAAATTTATGCCTAATTTCGGACCAACTAAAACATTCCTGGTAGGGTTGTTGGCCTTGGTGACACGTGTAGAGTCTGGCCAGGGCGAGGTATGTCACTCTGTATACCGTAATTGGTGCTGTTCAAGTGTGTCTCTAAACAAACCGGGCGAGCTGCCCCAACAAATCCAGTCATCCCCCCCCCCCCTCTTTCCCTCCTTCCTGCCTTTTCTCCTTCCTTCTTCCCTCCTTCCTTCCTTTCCGAGTTCCTTTCATCCCTTCCTCTCTTCCTCCTTCCTTCCCTACTTTCCTCTCTTCCTACCTTTCTCTCTTCCTTCCTTCCTTCCCTCCCCCCAGCCCTCCTAAACCCCCTAACCTCCAGTGCTGAGGTAAGGGCGACGGGATGACCTTACATAACTTGGCCTAATTTACACACGTGTTGTTAGATACACATACTCGGGGGCTGGGAGCGATGGTGCCACTACTAAAATACAACCAAGGACAACCCTGGCCCTGATAAGTGTCCCTCCTGACCCTGGTTGACTTACGTAGCAGCCACATACTCCCAGCCCCCCACAAGCTGACACTAGCAAACACACATAAATAAACACACGCTAGGATGCACACACACACACACACACACACACACACACACACACACACACACACACACACACACACACACACACACACACACCACCACACACCACCACACACACACACACCACCACCACCACCACCACTCACCACCACTCACCCCAAAGGGTTTGCCGGGAAGAAGTGTCTACATGCACAAGTCTTATGGAATTTGCTGATGATGGTGAGAGGGGTGGGGAGGGGGGAGGAGGGAGAGGAGGTGGGGAGGGGAGGTGGGGGAAGGGAGAGGAGTGTAGGGCAGGGGAGACAGCCAAGATTTCCTCTGCTCCATGGTGTTGTGACCTTCATACAAACATGAGAAGAGCCGTGGATGGTGTGATCAAGGCCGTATTGGTGTGATCAAGGCCGGTACTGGTGGATCAAGGGGCTGCATTGATCAGGGCCGTACTGGTTTGATCAAGGCCGTACTGGTGTGATAGGGGCCTTACTGTGTGATCAAGGGCGCACTGGTGGATCAAGGCCGTACTGGTGATCAAGGGCCGTACTGGTTTGATCAAGGGCCGTACTGGTTTGATCAAGGCCGTACTGGTTTGATCAAGGGCCGTACTGGTGATCAAGGGCTACTGGTTTGATCAAGGCCGTACTGGCTTGATCAAGGGCCTTACTGGTTTGATAGGGCCGTACTGGTTTGATCAGTATGGTGATCAAGGGGCCTTACTGGTTTGATGAGGGGCCGTACTGGTTTGATCAAGGCCGTACTGGTTTGATCAAGGGCCTTACTGGTTGATCAAGGGGCATGGTTTGATAAGGGCCGTACTGGTGATCAAGGGCCCACTGGTTTATCAAGGGCGTACTGGTGTGATCAAGTGGCCGTACTGGTGTGATCAAGGGGCCGTACTGGTTTGATCAAGGGGGGTACTGGTTTGACGGCCGTACGTGTGATCAAGGGGCCGTACTGGTTTGATAAGGGCCGTACTGGTGTGATCAACGTACTGGTGTGATCAAGGGGCAGTACTGGTGTGATCAAGGGGCTGTACTGGTGTGATCAAGGAGCCTTACTGGTTTGATCAAGGGGTCGTACTGGTATAATCAAGGCCGTACTGGTGTGATCCTCTCAACAGAAATTAAAACATTACATCACTGAAAGAAAATCGAAGTGTTTACAAATTGAACAGATTTAATCTACAAAAATAATTCACAACAACACGAATAATAATCAACTTGAAAACCAAACAAAAAAGATAGGAAATACAAATAGAAAAATAGTAACAGAACATAAAAATATAGAAAAAATGAGCCTCGTGGGGGAATAATGGTAAAATGAAATAGATATATAGAAAAAATAGGAACTAACAGAGGAACAATAGACACGATACTAACTGTCTTCCCTCACTCGTGTACCCTCAGGTGGTGACGTCAGTATGGATGGCGCCTACATTGTTTTTAACTCATGTTTCTGTCATTTATTGTGGCTCAAAATTTATGGATTACCTTAACATTATACACCCAAGAAAACCATAACCTAACGTAACCTAACCAAATATAACGTAACGTAACCTAACCTAAACTAACCTAACGTAACCTAACCAAATATAAAGTAACTTAACCTAACCTAACAAAAAAACTAACGTAACCTAAATTCCAACCAAATATAACGTAACCCAACCTAACCTTAACCAAATATAACCTAACGTAACCTAACCAAATATAACGTAACCTAACCTAACCTAACCTAACGTAACCTAACCTAACGTAACCTAACCAAATATAAAGTAACTTAACCTAACCTAACCTAACAAAAAAACTAACGTATACTAACCTAACCTAACAATCAAATCTAAGCTAATCTAACCTAACACAACATAACTGAATATAACCTAACCTAACCCACAGGTAGCGTTGGGGTGTTTAATTAACAGGTGATATAAACTGGTAAGTCTGATCTCCAGGTGGTCTGATTCTTTTAAAAATAAGTTCAATTAATTTAGTATAGTCGATAATATATTCCTTATCGTTATATAGGAAAATATATATTAAACTTATCTATTTATATAATGAAGCACTAAGTTTATATCACTCAGCCATCCAGTATATTAAACGTTTCCTTCTGTCAAAACTTTTCATTGTAAAAAATCATGAATATAAAACAGATACATATTACTTACACAGAACACATACACACGATACTAATACATACACATACTGTAATACATGATATTTAATACTTACAAGTACACAAAACACATAATACATAACATTTACACACACAACACACAATGTACATAATCTATAATACTTACACGTACACATAATATACATAACACATGATACATAATACTTACACGTACACATAACACTTAATACTTAAATCAAATTACAATGGAGCAGCACGACAGACCGACCGACCAACCGACCGACCGAGACAGAGACAGACAGACCGACCGACCGAGCAATACAGCAAGTAGTAGAGGGGGCGATCACCTCAACAACACAAGAGGTACTCTGGTAACCCCTGTGTGACCCCTTACATCACGACCACCTCTCTTAACGACCCCCAACCACCCCACAAGATTGACTTAACTACCGGGTTCATCCTAATTACCTGCCTCCTCTCAACCACCTCCCCCACACATACACACCTTCTCCCTCACCCCCACTCTCTCTTCCCTCACCACCCCACACACCTCCCCCCTCACTGCCTAGCTCCTGGTGCTGAGTGGTAGGTGGCAAGTTTGATAGTGGTTACATAAGCAGTGTAGTTCCGCCTTCCACATTCCAGAGCTGATCTTGGCCAATTGCCTGTTTACGGATTGCTGAAAGAGGAGAGGGGGAGGAGGGGGAAGGAGGGGGGGATGTGGAACTAGCTGAGTCGAGGTCAACACTTCCGCGTGGTAGCGAGGGAGAGGAAGTGGGATGAATGTGGTAGAAGTGGTGTCAGCACAATGGGTGGGTGGGTGGGTGGGTGGATAGATGGACCATCATCATCAACACGCCCAAGAGAGGTGTGTGTATGTGTCTGTCTATCCGTGTGCTTATCTGTCCGTGTGTGTGTGTGTGTGTGTGTGTGTGTGTCTGTGTGTTGCATAAAACTTCGGTCATCATCAGGGAGCTGTGAGTATTGTAGTTTGGATCCTCCCTGCTTACCTGTCTGTATCTACCCGTCTGTTTATTCATCGTATTTCTGTTTTCCTGTCTGTCTTGTTCATCACTGTCTATATAAGGACGTAGTTTGTTTTTTACTTGGTCTAACTCTATACAGTCGTGTGTGTTTGTCTGCCTGTATCAATATCTATCTACTAGTTGTATAATATCTTGTCTTCGTCTATCTTTCTATCGTAAGCATTAAAATCATCATCGTTACTCAGAGATAAACTTTAATTACACAAGAGTTACCCTTCAGGAGCTGCGACACACTGAGTTCAACTTGTAGGAGGCGAAGGAGGAGGACTGAACTATGTCCCTCCTGTTATTGCCTCAAGGTTGAAGTGCCTGTTTTAATTGGCACTAACTTGGAGGTCACAACTTGCTTGATGATTGAATATTTGATCCAATCCTACAGCAGCAGCGGGCCTTAACGAGCTGGGGCGTGGTCGTGTGAGAGATGATTGTCGGGTGGAATTTTTGGGGGAGGCCACGATGTTGAAATTGCACTCACGGATGTTCTTGTGAGTTTAAGGATTTACCCTTTTGGTGGAGGTTAAAGGAAGGCGTGCTTGTGGGCTGGTGACACACACACACACACACACACACACACACACACACACACACACACACACACACACACACCCTACAAGCCCCTGACAGTAACCCACTAACACTTATTATGTGAAAAAGACAGTGAAACTATGACCTGATGTTGTCTGTGAATAGCGATCGCTCTGACACCCCAATCAGCTGATCTAGTAAACAAAGTCAGCTGGTGGGTGTCATGTTATTGTACACCATCACCGAATCATTGTATTCCTAGCGTGTTAAGGAAATTATCATTGTAATCACTGTATTTCAACCGATCTTGTACAGTGAACTAGAGTATTGCGTTGTATTTACCCTTCTGGTTGTTGTAACAGGCAAGAGACACAAACACAAAAATCGGAGAACTGAGTGGTTTATATTGCTTGCGGGTGAGAAATAAACAGTACTGTGTGTAGAGTTTGATGCACGTACAGTAATATTAAATACAACTTTACCTCTCATACATAAACCATTAATACAACGTCCATGTATTAATGACACGAGGGTATATATTAGCTGGGATTATACACGCCAAGACCAGTGTGGTGGTGATGATGATGATGATGATGATGATGATGATGATGATGATGATGATGATGATGGTGATGATGATGATGATGAGTATTAATCGAGGGATAAGTCTGTCACTGAATCATAGGAGGAATCAGAGAATCAGTCAGGGAGTCAGTGAATGATGTCAGATGGGTATACATGTAGCTGACTGACGTACCAGCGTGACCTACCTTCTTCCTGATGTCACTGTCCCTAACATGGCCTGCCTCACCCGACCTGCAGTGACCTGTAATGGAAGGTAATTAAATATAAAAGCAAGAACAAATAATAAATACATTTGTAAATAAATATAACAAACAATTATAAAACAGTACAACAAACAATTAGATTATATCAGAAATAAACAAATATATCCGTATCTAATTAATTCCTTTCGCCTCTTTCCCTGAACCACTCATCCCAAGATTCAGACTCGTGAATCCGAAGCCTTTATGGACAGAATAATGTATCAGTCTACTGCTTCGGGTTCACTAGTCCGAATCTCGAGGTTCGTGGTTGACTGTATACATTTACGTATCTCTATGTATGGTATTCTATTTTATGTGTATTATCTGTATACATCAGTCAACAAATAACCGGGTTGTTGTATTATGTAATTGTATTTATTGCTAATTTATCGAGAGGAGGAAGGAGGGTGAAGAGGAAGGGTGGAGGGGTAAGAGAGTAGAAGGAGAAGAGAGAAGGAGGAGGAGGAGAGGAAGAGGTAGGAGGGAAGAAATAGGGAAGGAAAAGAAGTGGGAGAAAGCTGGGAAGGAGGGATGGATAAGAAGGAAGAAAACAGAGGAGGGAATTGAGAAAGTAAGGGACAAAGGGAGGAAGAGGAGAAGGGAGAGGCAAAAAAGAGAGGCAGGGGGTCAGAAGAGGAGTGGGGCGGGCGGAATGGAGAGGAAGGAAAGAGAGGAGGTAGGGAAGAAGAAAATGAAATAGAAGAAAGAATAGAAGCAAAAGCAAGAAAATAGACCTTACAATTAGGGACTGTACCACCTCTTGTTCCAATGGCTTAGGTTAGGTTAGGTTAGGTTAGGTTAGGTTAGGTTAGGTTAGGTTAGGTTAGGTTAGGTTAGGTGAGGTTAGGTTAGCGTTAAGGGGAAATAAACAGGAGGGTTAATCTTCAAGTGATCTAATAAGCGTCCTCTAAAGCAAAATGATGATGACGTTGGCTGGCGTGGTGACAGGAGCACGGTGATGGGAGCGTGGTGATGGGAGCGTGGTGATGAGAGTGTGTGATGATGGGAGCGTGGTGATGAGAGTTTGGTGATGGGAGTGTGGTGATGATGGGAGCATGGTGATAAGAGTTTGGTGATGGGAGCGTGGTGATGAG